CGCGGGGATGGGGGGTTCCACTGGGTCCCGTTAGGACGGGCGGCGTTTGGTGCCATGGACAGGTTTTGGCCCAATCTTTGATCCTGTTGTTCTTGGAACTATTCAGAGACATTTTCGGACCTCTCTTCTTTTGCAAGCTGCTTTTGATGACCACGATGAGTGTCAGAGTTTCTTGGCAGACATGTTCCCTGACATGGTTGAGGAGGAGCTTAGGAACTCGGTTGCCGAGCTCTTGAGGTGGCAGTCGGATTCAGCCCTGGCCTTGAAGCGTATGCGCTTAAATGTTGTTTCGGATAGCATGTATTTCCTACCGACTCATAGGCATGGCAGTGTTGATTTGAGAGAGTCATTTCGTTCGATCACGCAGTCAAGTGCTGTTGTCGTTTTGGAGCTTGCTACGAAAAAGAAACAACGAAAATACAAAGAGGAGCCTCATGATGTTCGTGCAAAGGCATTTGATTCAGAGAGGAGGAAGTATTCGATCTTGCTAGCGAATGTCATCAAATTGGCAAATCTTCCAGTGACACAGCTGGTCAACGTTCTTGATGATCCGGATTCAGGCTGGCTGCATTTGTTTGCTGCGCGTCGTGCGAATACACTCAAGAACCGTTACAAGAGTTGGAAACCTTTCCAAACTTGGCTTGAGCTACACCGCAGTCGATTGTTTCCAACTTCGCGCAAGGACATCATTGATTATATGCAGTTTAGAGTTGATGAAGGGTGTGGCAAAACTGTTCCCGAATCTTTCAGCGTCGCTTTGAATCTCATCGAGGTTTTGGGCAGGGTCCCGGAGGACTTGCAGTTGTCCAAGGATCCACTGTGGCTAGGGCATGTCAAGTCTTGGACCGCAGAACTTGCTGCTGACAGCCCTCCACGGCGTCCGGCTGAGATGTATACAGTTGCAATGATTGTTTCGTTGGAACTCACAGTGGAGAACGATGGAGAACCCATTTTCACCCGAGCATTGGCGTGGGTCGTGCTTGTTATGATTTGGGCTGCATTGCGCTGCGACGATGTTCAGGCCATTTTGCCACATCGTTCACTCCTCCTGAGGTCTGGCTTGAAGCTGTTGCTGGGAAAGACGAAGACAACGGGTCCGGACAAACCCCAAAAGGAGGTGATGGCACATGTGCTCAGAACTTTGTCCCTCACTGGAGTAGATTGGTTGCAAAGCGGGTTTGATATTTGGGAATCGGACTTGTTTTCCTATCGTCGGGATTTCTTAGTGATGGAGCCGACGAGAGACTGGGATGGAGTTTGCAGGAAGTTTGTCACACCTTCTGATTTGGCCTCGCTTATTAGGAAACTGCTGAGCACACTTCGAGTTCCTGTTCACCGCAATGCGCGTTGGGAGCTCTCACCGGGACAACTCCTGCTGCCAGATGGTCTGGAAAGCCACTTCTCGGGTCACAGCCCTAGGAATTTCTTGACTTCTGTTGCCGCGTGTTTGGGCTTTAGCAAAGACATGAGGGCATATCTCGGGAGGTGGAGCATTGGGATGACCTCTTCAGAGGAGTATGTGAGGACAGCGCGCCAGGTGGTGTTTCGGATTCAACGAGCTGTCAATCGATCCATTAATTGTTGAAGGCAGGGATGAGGAGTATTTTGAAGATGAGGCCATCGATAACCTTTGCAGATCAGCAGAGTCCGCAGGTGCTAATCCCAATCGCATTCGAAGAAGACATACAATCATGAACTCGGTTTCGGGCAAGAACTGCTTGGGCTCAGTGTACCCTGTGCTCACAATCAGGGATGAGGGCTCGCAGGTTATTCCGGATGTGGAGGATGATACAGACATCGTGCTTCTTGAAGAGAAGGCTCGATCGGCTATGGCCGTTGGCTCAGAGCGTGAGGCAGTCGCTGAGTCTTCGAAGTATTTCATCACGGTTTCTCGGAGGGCAGGCCACCGAAGGCTTCATCTCGTCGGGTGCTTTGTGAAGCCATCCAATTGCATGGAAGTGAGAATGTTTAATGCATTGACTGCTGAGGATTTCGATTCGATCTGTCGTGCTTGCAGGAAGAAGATGCTCTTGGAGAGTGGAAAAGAGACTCCGGAGGAGTCGAGCTCCACGGCCTCTTCGAGCTCCACTGGCCAGGAGCCTGAAGACTAGGTGGGCGCGCTAAAGGTGCAACCTGCTTGAGTGTTTCATGGAGTGAGAAATGCGTTGTGCTTTCTTTCTATTTGAATTTCTCGTTGTCCTTTGTGAAGGGTTTTCACACTTCGCTGCTTTGCTCTCGTTTGCATTGTTTGAGATCTGAATTTGGAGGATTTCGTTCACAGTTCACAGGTGTGAGATTCCATGCGTTCAGACGCCTCAGACAACCCAGGGCTCAGGCCGTTGTCAAGAGAGCTTTGAAGTTGGTGTGAAGTGTTCATGGGGGGGTGACGTCTTCTTCTTTAGGGGTTTGCGTCCCCCCAGAGTGTTTGCTTCTTTCTGAGGCCCTTTAGATGGAAGCTTCAGCGCTTACTTCTTTGGTTCTGGTGACCTTTCTTTGGCCGTTTGGGCCTGCGCGAGTGTTGGTCAGGGAAACCCCCAAAGATTGTTTAGGCAATTGTGGCACAGGGTTTGGACCGCCGCGCGTTTTGAAGCAATGGATGAGCCAGCTCAGAAGCAGTTTGTTGCAGACAACATGGATTCTGATCTTCAATTCGTTTTGGCGGATTCTGGTGTTGGAGCTGGAACATCAAGTGGCGATCGCACGCCATTATGGGAGCTTGCGGAAGTTTATGCGCCTTACGTGACACCAGGGCTGAGGTTCGAAGGGCTTGTTTGCGCGACTTTGCAATTCCTCAGGACACCCCGGAAGGTCGTGCGCAATCGGCCTCAGTGGTTTCTTCTTGGGAGGTGGCCCAGGAGTACATCGCGAAGGAGGTCGAGATCCGAGCTGAGGCAAAGGTGCTTGGCCAACCCCGTGCACTGCAGGTGCACGAGCGTCAAGCAATGTTGAAAGCAGTTGAACAGGTGTACGGCATTTTGCAGGAAGCTGAATCTCCTTCCGCTGATTACCTTTCGGTCAAGGCAGAGGAAACGGAGTCAAACGAACCCATCGCCGCACCATTAGATGAGGTGACTAGCAAGAAGGACTCGACGACATCGGGCATGCAGTCAGGCCTCGACAGTTCCGGCCATATTCGCGTTACACGGACAAGAACGAAAGCAAAGCTTCCATCGAACACTGAGGAGTATCGTCGTGTCATGCTGTTGAGATGAATGCTTGGTTGTGCATGGCTGCCAGGTACAGGGCTAAGGCTTGGCTGCATGGTTTGACACCTGATCCCTTCAACCGTTTTGTTGACTTTATCCTCGGGGATCGTGTTTACAATATCCAGGTGCCTTCGCTCCAGGGTGAGGGAGTGCAGAAAGTGAAGCCTGATTGGACTATCATTTTGGCATATGAACACAAGTTGCGCAAAGAAGCTTTCAAACTTGTCATTCGTGAAGGCTACACATTGGCCGAGGCCCTTGGTTCTGTGATCAAAGATGCTGACCTGAAGGAGACGTACTTCACCACACCGGTTGCACTTCGAGCTGCGATGTCCGTTGAGAGGCACCCGCCAAACAAATTCCAGCGTTCATCTTACAAGGGTTTTGGCGACTTCAAAGGTGATTGGAAGGGCAAAGGCAAGTCTTGGAAAGGGGGGAAAGGTGACAAAGGTGGGAAAGGTAGCAAGGGTGAGGTCCGTAAAGAACTTCAGGGCCTTCAGTTGGCTTGGAGGACGCCAGACGGCCGTGACCTGTGCTTTGCATTCAATTCAGGCAGTTGTGATGGCAAGTGCAATAGGGTACATCAGTGCCGTGTGAAGGGTTGTTACGGGGATCACCCCGCTGTGAAGCACAAGGAGTTGGGGCATTCGTGACAGGAGGACGGGGCTCCTCCCCCCAGCAGGGGGGCTGATCCGCGCGCTTTGCCTCTACCCTTTCGGCCCGAGGTCAAAGTCATGTATTTATTTGCTGGGAAGAAGCGCCAGGCTGATGTGGGCTCTTGTTTAAACAAAATGCACTCAGACGGCCGAATCGCTTTACAGTTGATCGAATTCGATATCGAAAGGTCTGAGACACACGACTTGCGTAGCAACGATTTGTGGGACCAGATCACCGCACGGTTACGGAAGGGCAGATGGTTTTTGATTGTCTCCCCTCCTTGCAACACTTTTTCTCGCGCTCGCTTCCAGTGGCGTTTGCATCCGGGGCCACGGCTTGTGAGGAGTCGTACATGGCCTAAAGGGTTTCCATGGCTATCTGGCCTGAATCAGGCCATTGTCAATGAAGCAAACGAATTCGTTTTGAAATGTCTCGACGCATGTTCCGTCGCCGTCCAACACGGTGGTTGGTTTTTTGCTTGAACATCCAGAAGACTTAGGTAAGGTGCATGATATGAGGTGCCAGGCACAATTTGGCAGTGGGATGAAGTCCACAACTTATTCGCTTGGTGCGGTGGTTTCACTTGTGCGGTTCACCAATGTAAGTTTGGAGCCCCCACCTCCAAACCCACCAGATTAATGACTAATTTTGCGCTGAATGATCTGCGTTGTCATCCCGGTTTTCCTCAATTCGATTCCAGCTTTCGCTACTTGGGGCCGCTCCCAAAGTCTTGTGGACATGTTCATGAGAGCAAACTCGTAGGAAAGCAGAACAATCAATGGAAGACCGGCCCCAGTGCGGCCTATCCACCTGACATGTGTCAGTTCATTGCTGAGGCCATTTTCGTTGCTGTCGCACCCTTTGGAGGGGGCGGCGAAACTGGCGACACGGCAACTGAACCCCTAAACAATTCGATGGCCACTGAGCCTTGGCCATCGAATTCTTGGGACCTGTTGCCGGAGGCTGGCAACAGTAAGGGTGAGGGCAAAGACCTGGGCACGACTGAGGGTGGTCCTCCTTGCCCGAACTTTTCCATGGTCAACCAAACTCAAAAACCCATTGTTGATTTGACTTCGGGTGAGCCCGTACGCGAGCCTTCAGTTGAGAGCATTCGTCCTTTGACGCAAGCAGATGAAGTTGAAGCTTTCGACATGGTATCCTGTTTGAACTCTGGTCACCCGATCAGGGTCGAGTGGGACACGTTTGAGCGTGACTTCATAGATGGATTTGGGCTTTGGTCACCCACAAGATGGCCTCCGGCTGCAAGGGGTGTAAGGCGCTCTGTGGCAATGAAACGTTTGGCATTTGAGACCTTTTCTCTTCTTGCTGACACCGTGCGGCAGTGCATACCGGATGTTAGGTCCGCGGCCTTTGCATTAGTGACTGGCAAGTTTCAGGCCTCACCATTCGTCGGCGAACCTTTGGAAAGCTTGCGAACTCAGTGGGCAGGACTCCTGCGAGATCCTGCTGATGCTTTGGTGATTGATAGTGGTCAGCCGTTTTTACTACGGGGCATGGCACAGTGGCTCACTGTTTTCGAGGATCCGGATGTTGGTTGGCTCGTCGACGCTGAAGATTGTTTTGCCACGGGAGTCCCACTAGGTGTTGATGCACCCTTGCCTCGGTCCCCGCAGGTGTTTCCGGAGAAAGTTAAGCACAGAAAGCTTGTTGATTCCGATTTCAACCCAGTTGCATCGAACTATCCTTCGGCTCAGCTGTCTACTGCCGAATTGGAGTCGAAGTTTCGAGAGGAGGAACTGGCGGGGCGCATGTACCCCACACGGTACTCAGTCTTGAAGGAGGAGTTCGGTGAAGAACGCATTCGGATTGCATCGATGGCTGCCATAACCAAGCCTGATGGGTCGATCAGACCACTACACGATGGGACTCATTCGGTGCAGGTCAACAACCGCATCGTGTACAGAGACCAGATCCAGTGCCCCGGCCCACCTGAGGTGGCTTCAGTGGTGAGGGAGTCTGTTGAGACTCGCGAGGCACCTTTCTGCGTTTCGGCTGACATAAAGTCCGCACACAGACTGGTCAAGATTCGTAAGATGGATTGGCCGCACATGGCATGCAAAGCTGATTCGAACTCTTCCACGGTCTGGGTGAATAAGGTAGGTACCTTTGGAATCTCTAGTGCACCATACTGGTGGTCGAAATTGTTTGCGCTTGTGGGTCGCTTCGTCGGCCATGTGATGGGCGCTGCTTGGTTTCTCCACTTAGTGTATGTCGACGACTTACATGGTGCTTTCACGGGGGCTTCGAAGTTCTTGCACCTCTGGGTTTGGGTCCTCGCTTTCGAACTTGTTGGGACGCCTTTTGCTTATCATAAGTTTCGGGGTGGTTTCTCTTCCGAGTTCGTTGGTTACCAGATGCGTTACGACTTGAATGGGGTGGGGATCTCGTTGCGGCGTGGTGAATGGCTTTCCAAGTGGATCA